TTGTTGTTTGGCGGGCCCAGGCTGGGGATTCGAACCCGCCACCTTAGGTGTATGTGGCTGGCGCCTTAGCCACTTGAGCCACAGGCGCCGAGCCAGATGCTCAGATTTTAGAACAGAATAATATATATGAAAGTAATAGAGAAAGAAGTAAGTAGGTTTGGCTGAAATGATATATACAACGGAAAGTTTGGGGATTTGGGTTACTTTTTTTTTTAACTCTACCCTGGGTAGAGTCCCTGGCTTCATAGCTCACAGCAACCTTCTCCCAAGCAGCTGGGACTACAGACACTCACCACAACATCCAGTTAGGTTTTTTTTGTTGTTGTTGAGACAGAGTCCTACCCTGAGCAGAGTGCAGTGGCTTGGTAGCTCACTGCAACCTCAGACTCCGGCTTGTGGGCATCCTGCTGCCTCAGCCTCCGGAAGCCACTGGGATTACAGGTGCTCGCCACAGTGCCCGACTGGGTTTTTCCATTTTTTTCATGAGTTGGGGTCTCACTCTAGCTCTGGCGAGTCTCTAACTCCTGAGCTCCAGCGTTTCTCCCTCCTTATCCTCCCACAGTGGTGGGATTACAGGTGTGAGCCACCGCGCCTGGCTGTTTTTTTTTTTTTTTCCTTCCTATGTTAGTAGAGATGAGAGCTCTTTTTTGCTCAGGGTGGTCTGAAAATTCTGAGAACAAGCAGTTGACGCACCTCTGCCTCCCAGAGTGCTAGGATACAGGAGTGAGCCATCACACCTGGCCAGGACTTTGGTTACTATTAATGGAAGTAGCTTTCATATCTGATGAAGATACAGTTCTGTAAATATTACCAAGTTTGTTTTTATTTTAGACAGACTCTTACTATATCGCCTTCAGTAAAGTGCTGTGGTATCATAGCTCACAGCAACCTCAAACTCTTGGGATTAAGCAATTCTCTCTCTCTTTTTTTTAAGCTTCTTTATTTATTTTTATTTATTTATTTTTTGGCCGGGGCCAGGTTTTGAACCCGCCACATGGGACCAGCACCCTACTCCTTTGAGCCATAGGCACCACCCTTAAGTGATTCTCTTGCCTCAGCCTCCGAGTAGCTGGGACTACAGGCCCCCGCTACAACGCCTGGCTATTTTTTGTTGTAGTTGCCATTGTAGTTTAAGCTGGCCTAGGCCAGGCTTGAACCCACCAGCCTCCATGTATGTGGCTGGCATTGTAACCACTATGCTATGGGCACTGAGCCAAATTCCTTTTTTTTTTCTTTTTTTGAGACAGAGCCTCAAGAGCCTCCTTGGTAGAGTGCCGTGGCATCACAGCTCACAGCAACCTCCTAGGCTCAAGTGAGTCTCCTGCCTCAGCCTCCCAAGTAGCTGGAACCACAGGTGCCCGCCACAATGCCTGGCTATTTTTTTTTGGTTGCAGCCATTGTTGTTTGGCGGGCCTGGGCTGGATTCGAACCCACCACCTTAGGTGTATGTGACTGGCAATTTAGCCACTTAAGCCACAGGCACCGAGCCATTTTTCTTTTTTCTTGAGATAAAGTGTCATTCTTACCCCAGCTAGAGTGCCATGGGCTTAGCATAGCTCACGGCAATCTCACATTCATGGCTCAAATCATCATTCTGCCTCAGCCTCCCAAGTAATTGGGACTATAGACATGTGTCACCATGCCCCACTAATTTTCCTGTTTCTAGTAGTGACTGCTCTTGCTGAGACAGGTCTTGAACTCCTGACCTCAAACAATCCTCTTGCCTCAGCTTCCCAGAGTGCTAGGATTACAGGCGTGAGCCACCATGCCCAGACATCAAGTTCTTATGTGCCAAAAGACTTCATATCTCACATACTTATTTATTCACAGGTTCAGCAGATGTATTTTGATTAGGTGATTTGTCTTAAATTCACTGTGAGTGAAAGATAGTACTCCTTTGAGTACTTGTTCTGGGCTTTTGTTTGCTACCCTCATGACACACTTAATAGCAGATGAAAAGGGTGGCACCTGTGGTTCAAAGGAGTAGGGTGCCGGCCCCATATACTGGAGGTAGCAGATTCAAACCTGGCCCCAGCCAAAAACTGCAAAAAAAAAAATAGCAGATAAAGACTTCTTGCAATACCATGGTAGTGGTTTTTAGAAAATACAAGAGATTGACTTGGCGCCTGTGGCTCAAGTGGCTAAGGCGCCAGCCACATACACCTAAGGTGGCGGGTTCTAATCCAGCCCAAACCCGCCAAATAACAATGATGGTTGCAACCAAAAAATAGCCTGGCTTTGGCGGGCGCCTGTGGTCCCAGCCACTTAGGAGGCAGAGGCAGGAGACTCGCTTGAGCCCAGGAGTTGGAGGTTGCTGTGAGCTGTGATGCCCCAGCACTCTACCCAGGGGGACAGCTTGAGGCTCTGTCTCAAAAAAGAAAGAAAATACAAGAGATCTTTAATGATTTATAAATGTGTAGATAGGCCCTAAATTGTAGTATAGGTTAGAAACATGTAATGGAGAAGAGCTTAGAATTATGAAGGATGGCCAGGTGTGGTGGCTCACGCCTATAATCTAGCACTCTGGGAGGCCAAGGCTTGGTGGATTGCCTGAGCTCACAGGTTCAAGACCAGCCTAAGCCACAGTAAGACCTCCTCTCTAAAAAAATAGACAGGCACAGCAGTGCCTATAGCTCAGTGGGTAGGATGCTGGCCACATACACTGAAAGCTGGCGGGTTCGAGCTCAGCCAGGGCCTGCTAAACAATGACAAGTGCAACCAAAAACAAGCTGGGCATTGTAGCAGTCACCTGTAGCCCCAGCTACTCGGGAGGCTGAGGCAAGAGAATCTATTAAGCCCTAGAGTTGGAGGTTGCTGTGAGCTGTGACACCATGGTACTCTACTGAGAAGGACACAATGAGACTCTGTCTAAAAAAAAAAAAAAGTAGCCGGGCATTGTGGTGGGTGCCTCTAGTCCCAGCTACTTGGAAGGCTGAGACAAGAGAATCACCTAAACCCAAGAGTTTGAGGTTGCTGTGAGCTATTATACCACGGCACTCTACCAAGGATGACATGGTGAGACTCTCTTCTCAAAAAAAAAAAAGAATTATGGCTCAGCGCCTGTGGCTCAAGCGGCTAAGGCGCCAGCCACATACACCTAAGGTGGCGGGTTCGAATCCCCAGCCCGGACCCGCCAAACAACAATGACGGCTGCAACCAAAAAATAGCCGGGCGCTGTGGCGGGCGCCTGTGGTCCCAGCTACTTGGGAGGCTGAGGCAGGAGACTCGCTTGAGCCCAGGAGTTGGAGGTTGCTGTGAGCTGTGATGCCATGGCACTCTACCCAGGGGGATAGCTTGAGGCTCCGTCTCAAAAAAAAAAAAAAAAGAATTATGAAAAATGATTGAGAGTGATTTGAGAGGAGGCAAGGAAGTTCCAGGCATACTCATGGTCTTTAGCCAAAAGCATCTTAGGCACCTTCATAAATCTGGCACTTCTCCATGACTTATCAGAGGCTTCCTATTAGTATATGGATGGTCAGTGTGGCATCAGGGTTTTCTTTGTTTTTGCATGAGCTACACTTGCTATTGGAAATGCACTATGATATTTAGGGTATAATGCAAACTCAACATTGTCAAAATTCAGGCTATCAGACAGTCAAGTACATAATCTCCCTTCTCATTGCACTTTACTTTCTCTCTTGCAGGGATCCGGTCAGTGAGTTTCTATGAGCACATCATCACTGTGGGCACAGGGCAGGGCTCCCTGCTGTTTTATGATATCCGAGCTCAGAGATTTCTGGAAGAGAGGCTCTCAGCTTGTTATGGGGCCAAGCCCAGACTAGCAGGGGAGAATCTGAAACTAACCACTGGCAAAGGCTGGCTGGTGAGTAAACCATTGCCTGAGATTTTTGCTGGACAGTGACAGAAAAATTGTCTTCCTGCTTCCCACCTACTGCCTCGCCCAATTACATACAACTTTCCCCTAATTTTTCTTAAGTGTCTGCTTATTCTCCATGGAAAAACTGAAGCCAGTAAAACACACTAGTTGACCTAGGACTCCACCCAAGTGTTAATAGCACAGGCAAGATAAGGAACCTTCCACCATGGCTGCCAGTGAATTATTAGAGTTTGGTTCTGATGGTCCTGAGAATTCCTGAGCTTTGTGTAGCAGTTCTTCAGCCTGCTCAGTTCCACTCTAATGTTTGGTTTGATGAAAAGTGAGACCCCACTTCCCATAAGAACCAATCTTTCGGCATCAGGTTTTAAGTATAAGACCCTCTCCTTTTCAGGAGACCAGAAAGCATTCCTGTCCCTTCTTCCTGTTTCCTGCCTCATGGCCTACGGGTGCTAACATAATCTCTTTCTCTTCTCATAGAATCATGATGAAACCTGGAGGAATTACTTTTCAGACATTGATTTCTTCCCCAATGCTGTTTACACCCACTGCTACGACTCGTCCGGAACGAAACTGTTTGTGGCAGGAGGTCCCCTCCCTTCAGGGCTCCATGGAAACTATGCTGGGCTCTGGAGTTAATGACAACTAATTCTCTCCCAAAATGCAGAGATTTACACTAACTTCCATCCTCAGTTTCCTTGTTTCTTTTGATTTTTTTTTTCCGAATTGTGTGAGGCTCTCATATTATAGTGGGAACACCAGAGTTTGCCTATGGTTTAGGCACTTAATAGGAAGAAGTTCTATACAGAAATCTGAAGGTTGTTTTGGTTTTGCTTTTTTTCTGTTTTTTTCTTTGGTAGTCAGACTTTTACTATCCTTTTTTCTTTCTGGCTTTTCAACCAAATATTGTTGCTAATCCCTATTTGTACTTTTTCTTTAAGTGACACATACTATTTCCTCTCTGGCTTCTTTAGGCTGACATGCCATAGTCATTCTCACCCTTACTTCACTCTTGAGAGGTAGGGCTCCTTTATAATTATGTGGTTGCTGTCAGACTTTCTGTGAAAGTTTGGGAGCTGTGTGTTTGTGTGCGTGTGTGTGAACTTGTGTGCCTGTAGGTACTGTGTGTCACTGAAATGACCTGGAGTGGGGATTACTTGTAATTAAAATATTTATGAAAGAAACAACCTTATTCACAGAGTCCATTGTTGGGACTAATGTGTATCTTGTTTTTTAAAGTCTGACAACACTGATAATAGGAAATAAAAACAGAAAGGAAAACAAATCACCACAGGGAAAACATTTTGAGTTAGATTGCAGGCTTCCTGGGGCCACCCATGCCAGGACTCTGAAGTTATCCAGTCCTACCTCTTCCCACCTGTGTGTCCTCCCAGGTGCAAAGTATGTGTCATTTCTACTTCCCAGCCTCCCATCTGCTGAGCCAGTGGCCACTTTGCTAAAACATCAGTGTCCATCCAGATGCAGCTCTGGAGGTTACAAAGGAGTTCATAGGACTTAGTAAAGAGCATCCCTATCCCAATCTCCCTCTCCTTCCCCTCATACAAGACCTGATCTGGTATCTTAGGTGTCTGGAGCTGGGGGCCTTAAGTCTGCTAAGATTCACATACATAGTCCCTTGGCTTTGAGGAGAACCTTCTCCTTTGCCTTTCTTCCAGTCTCTCTAATGATTTTGCTGTTATTTTCTAAATTGGGTTCAGTCCAAGAGGGTGGGGTGAGCAGGGGGTTTATCTGTGTGTAGTGAGGGCTTCATGTGTGGAATGTTAGTTTTCTCAGTGCAGTGGGACTTAGGGTTGAAGCCATCACTCATATTCTCTTGGCTCAGCTCTGTGATGGTGATGGGGTGGCCTGCAGCCAGCATCGTTATGCATGTAACAACATCGATGTGATTAGTAATTTGTCTGTTCCTCCCTTGAACTGTCTGTTTAGTCTGAGGGTTTTAAACCCACAGGCTTAACTGTGGTGTCTACTTGTTCCCTGCCTTTTAGACATCATGTTGAAAATAAGAGCTATTCCTACCCACAAATTCCTCCTCTAAGCACATACTCTGCTTCTCTGTCAACATCCCATTCTGGGGAAAGGAAATGTCATGTTTATTCCTGTATCTCAGTTCCTTGATTGCTCTCCCAGTTATCCCTCTCTTCTCTGGGTATCAGTGGGGAAGTTGGGAGAAAGAATGTCCTCTTCATGGTGGGGTGGGGGGGGTTGCTGTTGAAGGGAGACTGCAAGTCCACCCCAAGTTGGTGGTACACAGCATACACCACAGGTTCTGGAATTCACCTCTTTGAACCTAGAGAAATAGGTGCTATAAACAGGGAATTAAGCAAAATGCTGGATGCTACAAATCTTTTAATTGTCTTAATTTTTTTCTATTATTAAACTACAAGCTGTAGATTTCTTAGTTCTCACAGAACTTCTATCATTTTAAACAGACTTGTATATTAAAAAAAAGAAATCTTAAGTAGAATGTTTTGTACTGTTACCAGACCCTCTTCTGTGATGGGTAATGCGTTTGATTGTTTGAGATTTTCTGTTTTTAAAAATGTAGCACTTGACTTTTTGCCAAGGAAAAAAAAATAAATATTATTCCAGTGCAAAATGGTTTTGAGTATTATATAGCCAAGAACCTCCAGGAAAAAGGTTCCAAATGACTGGTTGGAGAGTTGGCTTGAGGGGCTGGGATTGCTTGGGGCAATAGGAAAACACAAGAGTTCCCTCAAGGTTAGAGGCAGATTAAGAGCAGAGACACAAATACTAAGGTTTACTTGCTCCTGCTTCCTAGCTCTGGACCAAGATCAGCTGCTCTGGGGTCTACTTGAGGGTAGAAATGGCCAGAATAAGTAGTGTGGTACTTGGAAAAAATAACAAAAAAACACTGGATGAAGATGAGGAGGGAGAATGATAGTCCTTAAACTGACAACATGGATTTGAGTACAGTGACCAGCTCCTCTTACATGAATCACGATTGGGAATGGTGCCAAGTGAAAATGAATGCATAGTGCCCTGTGGATAGGTACCATTTTTTTGGAGCTGGAACCATAAATCTTTTAAGTAGAGGACTTAATGACCATAGTAAATGTTGCTCTTCCCAGAGTCTGTTTGGGGCTATAGCTGAGAGAAGGGCAGACTCTGACTCATACCACCCTCCTCACACAGGGTTAAGCCGCTAAGCCTGGCAAGGCAGTGCCTATTCCTCTGCCTCGTGGTATTTGTTCTTTCCAGGCCAAGCTTGTATCCAGCTGCACTTTGCACCTGCCTTAGAGACTAACTGGTTCAGAACATGACTCACATGGGACTCTATATGATCAAAGGCTGCAAAACAGGAAGGGGGGAGTGAATAAGTTGAAGCAATTTGAGGTTTCCTAGAGAAGAGTTAACATTTGGAAAGAGATTGGAACTAGTCTTTCCCAAAATGAGTTTAGAATACCAGATACTGGAGGAGGAAAACAGAAAAAAAAAAAAAAAAACCTTGAAAAAAAAAATCAGATCCTTAACGGTATTGGGATTTGCAAAATGTCCCATTATCAAATAAATTTTTAATTTTTTTTTTTTTTTTTGAGACAGAGTCTCAAGCTGTTGCCGTGGCATCATAGCTCACAGCAACCTTCACTTCTGGGCTCAAGTGAACCTCTTGCCTCAGTTTTTCTATTTCTAGTAGAGACAGGGTCTCGCTTTTGCTCAGGCTGGTCTCAAACTTGTGAGCTTAAGCTATCCACCTGCCTCAACCTCCCCGAGTGCTAGGATTACAGGCTCAAGCCACCGTGCCTGGCCATCAAATGAGTATTAAAACAAAGGTATTTTGCCAGGCATGGTGGCTTACACCTATAATCCTAGTACTTAGGAGGCCAAGGCAGGTGGACTGACTGAGCTCAGAGGTTCGAGACCAGCCTGAGCCAGAGTGAGCAGAGTGAGACTTCATTTCTAAAAATAGCTGAGCATTGTGGTGGGCACCTGTAGTGCCAGCTACTTGGGAGGCTTAGGCAAGAGAATGGCTTAAGCCCAAGAATTTGAGGTTGCTGTGGGCTATCACAACACAGCATTCCACCAAGGGTGACAAAGTGAGACTCTTAATAAATAAAAATAGGGTGGCGCCTGTGGCTCAAAGGAGTAGGGTGCCCGCCCCATATGCCAGAAGTGGTGGGTTCAAACTCAGCCCTGGCCAAAAACTACAAAAAAATAAAAATAAAACAAAGGCATTTCAATCCCTTAATCTCAGTTTTTTGGTATGTTACTATAGGAGTCATTCCATGAAACATGCTCAAGAAAAGGTTACTTAGGGGATGTGGGGTGAACCTGACCTATGCCTTTAGACTCCATGGAATCTTGGCCCCGCTCCCGTTTTCTAGCCAGACTTTCCAATGAAGTGTGTATCACAGAAAAGCTTTGTGGACTTTATGGGTTTCCTTTCCTGCCAGCAGTTTCTTCTACCTTCTATGAAAGAACTTCTTGTTCTCTCTCAAACCACATGCCACATGCTTCTTTCCAAATGGTCTTCTTGGCTCCTCCCCTTATCCTTTGGATCGTTTTGCAGATGGCTTTGGAACTGAACTAAATTCCTAACCCTTCAAGCCTCATTTATGCTTGAGGTCCCTGGTCTCCTGCCACTCTAGGAGTTGGTTATTGATCCAGCTCTTAGTGTTCCTAATAAAGCTAGACAACTACTCCTGGTCCAGCCCTCTCTGATCCAACTGCTTCTGAGACAATTCCTAGCATAGGTACCCAGAAGTAGCAAGTCAGGATATCACGACCGTTGGCTTAGCATCAGGTGTCAATCTCATAGGATTCAGCCTATGATCAAGGGCTTTTTTTTTTCCTCCTTTTCAATTGGCTGGCATCTAGAAAACAATAGTGGGAGTAGGTAAAGAAGAGAAGGAATCACTGAATGTTATTTGCTTCATGCTGGTTCATTCATATCTCTCTTCATGCTAGTTATATTGAAATGACACAGCTTTGGGAGGGTAGAAATGTGTTTCTGTGCTTCTAATTCTGGAACCACTGATGAACACAGAAGGCTCAGGTTTTTGTTTTGTTTGTTTTGTTTTGAGACAGAATCTCACTATGTTACCCTTGGTAGAGTGCTATGGTGTCACAGCTCACAGCAACCTCAAACTCTTGGCCTTAAGTGAGTCTCTTGCCTCAGCCTCCCAAGTAGCTGGGACTACAGGCACCCTCTACAACACCCAACAACCGGTATATGGACCGGGCACCATACCCTTTTGAGCCACAGGTGCCGCCCAAGGCTCAGGTTTCTTATCTTGGTTCTTCTGCCCTTACCTCAGCTCCTCCAAAGAAAATCCAGCAGAAACAAACACTGCCATTAGACAGGAAGGTGTGGACTGAACTCAAGACAGTGTAGTGACCTCTAAGATTCAGCTCTCAGGGCGGTGCCTGTGGCTCAATACTGAGGGTGGCAGGTTCAAACCCGGCCCTGGGCCAAATTGCAACAAAAAATAGCCAGGCATTGTGGCGGGTGCCTGTAGTCCCAGCTACTCGGGAGGCTGAGTCAGGAGAATCGACTAAGCCCAGGAGTTGGAGGTTGCTGTGAGCTGTGACTTGACAGCATTCTACTAAGGGCAATAAAGTGAGATCCTGTCTCAAAAAACAAAAAACCCTTCCCCCCCATTTAAATAAAAAGATTCAGCTCCCCCAGATAGAGGTGTTAGCTATCTTCCCAGAATTCCTGTGGGTTGGGCCACACTCCCAGAATGTTTAAAGGGTAATATTACCTCAGAGTATTATTGAACTCAGAGTCACATGTTTGCTGTGACTTTTTTTTTTTAGACAGAGTCTCACTTTATTGTCCTTGGTAGAGTGCTATGGTGTCACAGCTCACAGCAACCTCCAACTCCTGGGCTTAGGCAATTCTCTTGCCTCAGCCTCCCGAGTAACTGGGACTACAGGCGCCCACCACAATGCCCAGCTATTTTTTGTTGCAGTTTGGCCGGAGCTGGGTTTGAACCCACCACCCTCGGTATATGGGGCTGGCGCCCTACTCACTGAGCCACAGGCACCGCCCTGCTGTGCTTCTTGTTAAGTTTTATTCAGAGCTATAATTAATATCCCCAGTGCCAGCCAGGCGCAGTGGCTCACACCTATAATCCCAGCACTATGGGAGGCTGAGGTGGGAGAATTGCTTGAGCTCAGGAGGTCAAGACTTGTCTGACTGAGAATTAAGACCCTGACTCATTAAAAAAATGAAAAACCCAGCTGGGCATCTTGGTGAGCACCTGTAATCCCAGTGGCTTCCAGAGGCTGAGGCAGCAGGATGCCTACAACTGAGTCTGAAGTTGCAGTGAGCTATGACACCATTGCAGCCTGCTCAGGGCATGGGGTGGGACTCTGTCTCAACAACAACAAAAAAATCCCTAGTGGCTCGGTGCCTGTAACTCAAGAAGCTAAGGCACCAGCCACATGCACCAAGCTGGTGGGTTTGAATCCATCCCTGGTCCCCCAGACAACGATGAATGCAACCAAAAAATAGCTGAGTGTTGTGGCGGGCACCTGTAGTCCCAGCTACTTGGGAGACAGAGGCAGGAGAATCACTTGAGCCCAGGAGTTAGAGGTTGCTGTGAGCTGTGATGTCACAGCACTCTACCCAGGGTGAAAGCTTGAGGCTGTCTCAAAAAAAAAAATCCCTAGTGCTGTGGAAAGGAAGAAAACAAAGATCACTTTGTGTCTTTTCTTTTTTTTTGAGAGAGAGAGTACTATGTTGCCCTCTGTAGAGTGCTATGGCATAACAGCTTACAGCAACCTCAAACTTGGGCTTAAACAATTCTCTTACTTCAGCCTCCTGAGTAGCTGTGACTACAAGTGCCTGCCACAAAGCCCGGCTATTATTTTTGTTGTAGTCGTCATTGTTGTTTGGCAGGCCTGGGCGGGACTTGAACCTGCCAGCCTTGGTTTATATGACTGGCACGCTAACCACTGAACTACAGGTGCCAAGCTTTATTTTTTTCCCCAACAGCGTATAATTTTGTCACCCTTGGTAGAGTGCCCTGGTGTCATAACTCACAGCAACCTCAAACTCTTGGGTTCAAGTGATTCTCTTGGGGCAGCACCTGTGGCTCAGTAAGTAGGGCATGGGCTCCATATACCGAGGGTCAGGGGTTCAAACACAGCCCCGGCCAAATGGAAACAACAAAAAAATAGCTAGCTGTTGTGGCAGGCACCTGTAGTCTCAGCTACTTGGGAAGCTGAAGCAAGAGAATCGCCTCAGCCCAGGGGTTGGAGGTTGCTGTGAGCTATGTGACACCACAGCACTCTACCAAGGGCGATAAGGTGAGACTCTATCTCTAAATAAATAAATAAATAAATAAAAGTGATTCTCTTGCCTCAGCTTCCCTAGTAGCTGGGACTATAGGCACCCACCACAACACCCGGCTATTTATTTATTTATTTATTTTTGAGACAGAGTCTTAAACTATTGCCCTAGGTAGAGTGCTGTGGCATCATAGCTCACAGCAACCTCCAATTCTAGGACTCAAGCTATCCTTTTGCCTCTATTTTCTATTTTTTAGTAGAGATGGATATTTTCTATTTTTTAGTAGAGATGGGGGGGTCTCACTTTTGCTCAGGCTGGTCTCAAACTCCTGAGTTCAG